AGGAAAACTGTCTCACAAAATAGGAAAAAAATAAAGTGGGATTCCCTCATTATCCTATATATGAAGACAAGACTCAAAAAGAATTTTAAAAGGTAAAAGTGGAAAGCTGACATAATACAAAATATCTTTGTAATCTTGGGTAAGGAAGAACATCTTAAGACTCCTAAAGTGCAACCGAAGGCAAAAATTAATGGATTGAGGCTATATCAAAACTAAAAATTTCTGAAAGTTACCATTGAGAAAGTTGATAAATAGATGACAGGATGGGATTAACATCTAGAATATACCAAAAAAAAAAAAATCTGCAAATCAACACATTAGAAAAGCATGTATGGGTATTAAAAGAAATTATAGTCACTAACAAATATATTAAATGAGTTCAAATTCACTAAGAAATCATAAAAGTTTTAAGTTCACATAAAACAATGAGATCCCACTTTATGGCCACCAAACATTGGTAAAACTACAAAGATGGTTATTAACAAACTTGAGCAAGAATGTGGGGAACCAGGAACCCTTGGGCACTGATGTGGGAACAGAAAGCAGCTGGGCAACTCTGGAGAGTAATTTAGCAGTGTTTAGTAAAAACAGGTATGTTTGTACACCATTACTCAGCCATCCCATTCCTAAGTAAATACCCTTAGCAGTGGTTCTCAAACTTTCCCATGTGTCAGAATCTCGAGCCTGGGAATGCTGAAACACAATTTAGAGTTTCTGATTCAGGAAGTCTAGAATGTTGGGACCCAAGAATCTGCATTTCTAACAGTTCACAGTTGATGCTGTTGTTGCCAGGTGTGGCCATACTTTGAGAACCATTACCCTAAGGATATTCTCAACCAGATCATAAAGAAAATGCATACAGACCCAGCTACTCAGTAGGCTGAGGTGGGAGAATCCCTTGAGCCCAGGTGGCAAAGGCTACAGAAGGCCGAGATTATGCCACTGCACTTCTGCCTGGGCAACAGAGCCAGATTCTGTCTCAAAAAAAAAAAGAAAAAGAAAAAAAGAAAAAAAAATGCATACAGGATGTTTGCTAGTGGTAACAGGAGTGGAGGTGAGTTAAGCATCCATTAGTAGAGAAATGGGTAAGTAAAAGTAATAGACACACAAAAGACCAGCCCTATAAAGCAGCAGTCAAGGCAAAGTACTAGATAAACCTACACTAACTGGGATCTCACAGATAAAATGCTAAAGTTCTTTTGATTTTTATGAATGCCTGCAAATTTCCACAATAAAAAGCTTTAAAGTTTGAATTTAAAAAGGAATGAAATCTGTAGCATAGAAGCACTTATGTAAATTAAAAACAAACAAGGTAACTCAACATCTTTAACAAGAATACATAGCCTGCACAGGAAAGAAGGCTCCTCTGGGGAATAGAGACCTGGGGTGGGGCGGGAGGGGAAGAAAGGAGAAAAACATAAAACAATCAAGGGGCTTTTGCACAGTGAGAGGATCCTGTGGCAAGAACTAGAATGTGAGCTCAGCTCTCAGCACCAGAAGTCTAAAATGTAAATCGCCCAAGTTCTCTAAATCTCCACTCACCTGCATTTACATATAATGGTTGCTTCAGTTAAAGCCCTCAAGGCTTTAAATCATTAAGGGGGCAGATCAGCTTCTCAATGAGAGTGAAGGGGAATCTTTCTCAATACAAGCTTCGGGTGATTTCAGGACCCCAAACTCAAACCTGCTGAGCCCTGGATTTTCCCTCTTTGACATATTAGTTTAAAAAGACACTGGTGCTCTTGGCTTTTGGCAGAGTGTGTGTGTTTGTTTTTTCCGTGTCTTTCTCTTCACCGTCTGAGTCTCTATGTCTGTGGATCTTTGTGCGACTGCATGTGTGTGGTATGTTTATCTGCAGAGACAGAGGACTGGGAGAACAGCAAAGCATTCCAGCGGAGACTGAGCCACACTTGTTCATCAACGCCATTCAATGCAGCTTTATTGAATCCGGAAGTCACAGTTATAAAACCAAGAGACCTTCCTAGGGCTCCGCCCACCCTTCTCTTTCCCTTTCTTCACTCTCTCCTCCCCGACATCCCATGCTGCCTCCCAACTCCCACATCCAAGTGGGCTGATCCAAAATAAGGTCCTCTTGTGACTGGGTAGCTTAATAGAGGTAACAACCTTTACAAGGATGCTCTTGGAGAGGAGAAATAGCCATTTATATTCCCCACTAAAAGACTTTAATAGAAAAGCCAAAAATCTTGAAGACCAGGCATATCATAAAAGTTCTTCCAGAAGAGACTGTTATGGCTATAGCTACCATCCAAAAAAGGCGAAGTGATCTATAACATGTTATGCCCCTACCAAGGACACCAGGGCCACAGGTATTTCCAAGTGCCACTGAACAGTTTGCCATATGAAGTGGTGGGAAAGTGTATGTGGCAATCAAAAAATAAAAATCACCAATGATCCAATTTGCGTAGAAAACGCAACTGATCCTTCTGACAGGATTGCTTAAAGAAGCAAGCTCATGCCAAGAAAGTACATTTTTAGGGGAAGAAGAAATACCTAAACAATTGGAGGAAGGAAGAGACAGTAACAGTAAAGGGAAGAATGAACTGGCAGCACACTCATGCCTCCCTCCTAAAGACCAGGGCATTAACCCCTGTGTGCAAACAATCCAGAATGTTTATTCCCAAAACACTCTTTCAGCTTTTCTATAGCAGCACTTTTCAGAGTTTACCTGAAATGTTATGTATAATATGAAGTTTTGCAAGTTAAAGCACATTTGACATGCAACAGGAGCACTTTTTAGTTTAAAAAAAAATACTGCCAGGCTCACACCTGTAATCCCAGCACTTTGAGAGGTCAAGGTGGGAGGATCACTTGAGCCCAGGAGCTTGAGACCCACCTGGGCAACATAGCAAAACTCTATCTGCACAAGAAGTACAAAAAAATAGCTGGACTTGGTGGTGCATGCCTATAGTCCCAGCAACTCCGGAGGCTGAGGTAAGAATCACCTGAACCTGGAGAGTTCAAGGCTGCAGTGAGCCGAGATCGTACCACCTCGCTCCATCCTAGGTGACAGAACAAAACCTGTCTCAAAAACAAACAAACAAAAAAGAAACTGATGACTATGCTTAGGAGACAGGAGTCCGTTTGGTTTTCATGACATGCATTAGCAAAGCACACCATTTTTCTAGCTGAAATGCAGGATCTGCCACAAGTTTGAAAATTAATAAATTTAACCAGAAAAGTAAAAGAATCTTTCAAGCTAAAATTGAATGTCTATGGTCAACACGGGCAATCATGTCTTATGAAAACATAAACATTCTTTAAATGTCAATGTGCAGCGGTATTGACGCATGTATTTTATTCTAACCATATTAACACAATCTTAAAAATACATGATGAACATGGTGAATACTGGTAAACTCTTCTGTTAGGAAGGATTTTTAAATTGTCAACTGCAGAGGCATGTACTAAGCACTACAAGTTAGACACTGCAAGATGCTAGAAATTCTGCAGTGAACAAGATACTGGTTTAATAACTGTGTTCCTCTGACGTCAATTTAATCCATCCCTGGAGTTAATGTCTTTTATTAAAAAGTTTCTGGATATTTCAAATAGCTTACTATTATCACTAAAGAGTTGCAGAAATATATATTACTGTTTTACTAAAAACATAAATTGCTATTCTGCGAAGCAGAACTGGAAGGAAAGGCTTCTTCACTGTTTTACATATCACAATCCCTTTCTGCAGAAAAACTACTTAAACTGCATGGTGGCAGCGGCCACCCCCTGCTACCCAGTAGGTCACAGGGATGGAAAGACTAAAAAACATGCTATATATTGCTGTATACTTTAAGAGAAGCAGTAAAGAAACTCGAAAGGGCCTCCAGAGCTAAACAGGAAGCAAGATGAGGCAAGTGGGCTGCTACAGGCAGAAGGCAGCTTCTGGAGGTTCCCCCAAAGCTGGCGCCTCTGACAGCAGACACAGGCTGCTGCTTGCTTGCTTTGCTTGCTTCTTTGCTTGGCCACGGCATGTCTTCAGAGCTGGCAGGCTGCCACCTGCTGAATCACCAAACATCCCTGGGCTTCCCTTGGAGCACTGACCAGACAGGCACCCAACCCCCGCTGCCTTCCTTCGCCCGTGGACATTTCACACCCGACCAATGAAACGCCCAGCCCTCTCCCCTTCTGCACAGGCCAAAACAGCCGCCAACCTCGTTCCATCTGGGCAGCTCTAGGCAACTCCCATCGCGTTCCTACGTCACCAGTCCCACTCCTCTCCTTCGGCCTACTCAGTCCCCCCTGAATGTTCAACCTCCAGTGCCAGGAAGCGTGGGGAGTTCACAGCACAGCATATCAGACATTCGCCGCTTCCACATCCAGGGAGCCAACCAGAAACATCCCCAAACCTGAAAGCAAAATAACCTGTCCAAACAGCTTTAAAGGTCCAGGAAGGTAAATGTCAAGGGGGCTAAAATAGCCAACAGGCCCCAGAACATAGAGAATAAACTTCCCTTTCAGAAAGCAGCCCTTCACTTGGTTTCGTAAGCATGAACCGCTGAAGTCTGTACTGTTTGAAGGTGAAAACAAACATCTGAGAAGCACCTGCCTGGATTCCCTTCGCTCCCTCCGGCCATGACAACCCTCATCCCGATTTCTACTTCGCGGCACTAAAGAAGAAAGCAGCATTAACCAGAAGGCTCCAGGCTGAATCCGTTAGCTGGACTAGGGCACTCTACCCCGCCCACGAGGGAAAGCTACAAGCCGGAGTTCGGGTTAAGACGGTGGGAGAGGCAGCCGCTGCTGCCGCGGTTCTGCCCTTGACACGTCGCCTGGGGATAGCGGAGACCCCCTCTGTCACGGAAAAGCCGCGTCCTGGAGAGACTCTCCAGTTCTAGGCTGCGCCGATGCCCCTCCAGGCCTTGCCCCTAAACGTCCCCGCCCGGCGGGGTCAGCCCTGCGGGTCTCAGTGCCGCCCGCGAGCCTAGGGGGCTGTTACGTGGCCTGGGGAGAAGGGGCGCGCTCCTCGGGGAAGGGGGTCCCACCTGTTTTGTCGTCGGGGGGCATCGAGGGGCCACAGTGGGGGATCCCGAAACAGTGGGCGCCTGGCCGGCTGCGATCTGGCCCGAAGGTATCAACTGTCACACTGCAGCCGAGGCTGTGGGGGTGGGGCCGTGATTGGAGTCGGCCCCTGTAGGGGTCTCCGAACCCCCGGCGAGCCACGGCCCAAAGGCTCCTCGCTTCCAGATCGCCCCAATTCGACACCAAGCAGCCTTCCAGCCCGCACGCAGTAGCTCTGAAAAGGTGCCCACTGTCGGCCCCTTCTTCCTCCCCGCCCCAACTTGGCCGGAGAGCCCCGCCGGCGGCCCGCCCCCTCCGAGCCCGGATCCCGGCCGCCGGACCTCCCCCCCGCGCCCACCCCCGGGAACCGGCAGCTCTGGGAGAGTGCCCGCCAGGTACGCGCGCGACACCGCGCGGGCTGCGCTCACGCCCCCTCGCCCCAGAGCAGCCCGCGCGCCGCTCCCCGGCATCAGGCCGGGCCCACGAGACGGGTGTCCGATCCGACCCCGAGGCCGGCTCTCTGTCCCGGCCCCACGACTCACTTGCACTGGAGTCACGGCAGCAGCCGGAATTCTGCTGGCGGAGTCCCCCGCGACGGAATGAAATCCGGGGCAGGGCAGCGTCAGCGCTCCGCACCACAATCACTCTCTCCGGCCCGCTTCTCAGGCGCGAGGGGAGAGCAGCCTGCCCTGGCCGGTCCTTCTGGCTTCCGACCTGCCCGCCCCCCGCCGCCGCTGCCCCTCTGGTGCAAACGCTTCCGACTTGCCACCGCGAGCCTACCGGGCTGCCGAGCATGCCCAGTCCGCGGCCGGAGCCGGCCCGGCTTCCCGCGCTACGCGCAACTCCGCTCCTCCGGGTGTTCGCGGCGGCCGGGGCGGGGGGCGGGGAGAGAGCTGGGCCGGCCGGGCGGGGTCCGCGGGGTTTCCTCCCGGCACGGAGCGGGACCCTGAACCAAGGGACAGTCAGGGTTTGCACCCCTTGAATTTTACTTTCAAGTAATGGAAACTGAGGAGGCGAGCGCTTTCCCCAGGGTTTTTAGGGGCCCGCTGAGTAAGCCCAGGAGGAAGCCGGGTTTTACAATCAGGTACGGTAAGCCCCTAGGAGCTCAGCCGGAGACGGGAGCCGCTGGAGCTAGGCGTAAAGCAGGGAATGCAAACTCAGCTTGATGGAAGCCGGGCACGAGTTTGCAAACTACTCCTAGATTCTCTTTCCCACCAAACCCAAGGGCTGCGACACTTGGGATTAACGCCAGGTTGATCATTCAGAGGAAACGGCAGACCTTTCATTCTCTAACTATAGACTCTCATCTTCCTCCTGCAACAGAAAAAACGCCTCCGGCGACGCCTGGGAACGTGGAGGCGCAAGAGCTCTAACCGCCTGAGGTGAAAACTCCGGCTTCGTCAGAGCCGCCCCGCCCCACCTGGGCCCCACCTCCCGCCGTCCCTCCGAGCTGCAGCAAAAACCCGGAGAGCGGCGGCGGCAGGGCGGAAGCCCACGCATGCCCAATAGCCCTACCTGGTGTGGGTCGCCCGAAGGAAGGTTTTCCTCTGTTGCCCGAGAGCCTCAGCGCCCAGGTTAGGGGTGCACAGCGAGGACGGCTGGCCTTCCGCCCCGGTGCCCGCCCTCCCTGGCCGGCCCGCGCCGCACCTAGGAGGCGGAGAGACAGCTCAAGGCCGTGCCTCCCGCAGGGTCGAGGACTTGGCGAGCGGGGGAGGGGGTGCGCGGCGGGCTCGGCGTGACACGTGACTGTCCGCGGCGCTCTGGGCAGCCATCTTCCGCCTGGCCATCGGGCCGCGGGCGCTCGGAACCGACCCGGGAGCTGGCAGGACGGGAGTGGAGCGCCGTACTCCCCCGCCACGCCCTCCCGTTGGGTGCCGGACTCCGGGCCCTGGCCTCCGGTCGGCACCTGCCTCCGCCTAGTCCTGGAGTACAGGAGTCCTGCACTGGCCTCTTGCTTGCCCGGAGGACAGGTTCTCGCCCGGGCCAGAAGCAAACTGCCGCGAAATCGAGACAGCAGAACTCTGGCAGAGGCGGAAGTTGGCGAGGTAGTCCTCCCGTTATCCAGCGAGAGCTCAGCTAGCGCTGCCTCCCATTTCTAACCTAGTGTCTGCAGAGGAGGCGTGATGTACCGGCAGGGACATTGGACAGAGGCCATGCTCTTCCCTGCGATGCATGCACCGCGGCCCCTGCTGGTGGGCAGCTTGGTTGGTGCTGATGTTCACAGTGAACATTTATTGAGCGCCTGCCGCGAGTCCCTTGGGTTTCCTGTTATCTTGGGAGCTGCCGCGCCACTCTCACCCGAGAATTTGTTAGAAATGCTCGTTTTCGGCCCCATCTAGACCTACAGAACCAGGAACTGCGGCTGGGGTCCTGCAATATGATTAACAAAGTCCTCCAGGTGGTTCTTAGGGACGCCTCTGTATTTCACTTAAGCAGTGGCATTTTAATAAGCTAGGCAATGAAAACTTCCATAGTTTTCCCCAAAGCACAGTGAGGAGTCGGGGATTCAAAAAGAGGCAGTCTGCCCCAATTCAGGCGTTTTATTGCACCCTCCACTCCTGGCTCCTCTGGCTTTTTCACCCCTACGACACAGTACTGCTCTTCTCAGGAAGATTAGGAAAGTACATTTGTCATATACGTTTGTCACGTACGGCTTTAAAATAACACCTGAAATTCAGTTCAACTGCATGTTTTGAGGGCAAGGCTCTGCGAGGTGTAGTAGCCCTACTGGCTATTTTTGTCAGTTGGCACCTAAAAGGTGAAAGGAAGGCTTGCTTTCTTGTGATGTAAAGTTTTTCAAACTAAGAGAATGCCAGAAAACTGATGACTGGTTTATCTCCCGTGTTGGTTTCTCTCCAGTGCTATCCAGAATGTGCTGTAAGCTTTGGACTTCCTGAAAATAAGGTCCAAGTAAGCATCTGGTCTTTGATGTACTTTAAAATGCACCCCACCGCTGCATGCAAGATAACTAATTTTTTCAAAATATTAATACTTTTTGAATGTAAATGGTGTGTCTAGGGTACTCGCATAATTTTTTTATAATTGTATGTTTGAAATGTTTCATAATCCTTTTAAATTTTTTTCATGAGTAATTTTAGGATGATATATATATATATATATATATAGCACATGGAAAAAAGCAGGGCATAGAAGTATTTCCACTTTAATTTCAATTTCATAAAATAATTCTTCAGAGAAAAAATCCGTAGATAAATACACCATACATAAAAATAAAACCATAAATAAATACAGAAAGAAATTTAAAGAGAAATCACCATAGCAGTAAAAGTAAATTCTAAGTGAAGAGATTATAAGAGACACTAAGAGTTGGCCCTCCTTGAAATTTAATTTAGTTATGGCCCTTAAGTCACTATTATTTGTAACCAAAAAAAATCTTTAATAAAAATAATTCTCTTCAGTCCATCCAATCCTAAATAATTTTTACCAATGCCCCCCCGTTTTGGTTTGGTTTTTTTTTTTTTTTTTTTTTTTTTTTTTTTTTTTTTTTTTTTTTTTTTTTTTTTTTCCAGAGTTACCTGTCATTGCACTGTCACCTAGGCTGCAGTACAATGGCGCCGTCACAACTCACTGCAGCCTTGACTTCTTGGGCTCCAGAGATCCTCCACCCTCAGCCTCCTATCTGAGACCACAGGTGCAAGCCACCATACCCAGCTAATTTTTGTATTTTTGGCAGAGATGGGGTTTCATCATGTTGTCCAAGCCTGTCTTGAACCCCTGAGCTCAAGTAATCCACCTGCCTCGACTTCCCAAAGTGCTGAGATTACAAGCATCAGCTGCCACTGTGCCTGCCCTACCAGTGTATTTCTTAGGAAAATTTTAATAAACATCATATTGTTGTATTGTAAAATTTTAGGATTCTCAAGTACACAGAATATCATGAATTATGTTGCTGTCAAGACAACTAAGAAACAAAAATGAATCACCTCCAAGTCACAATCTGTCATTAGAAATCATGTTAAAAATAATACTAAGAGCAAACACTGAGGCAGATGCTTCACTTGCCAAAACAGCTATTCTGAAGTAGGTGGTTTGATTCCAAATGAATGGCTTTTCTACCTTTAGAAGGTAAACTACCTGATTTAAATTGTGGTTTTAGTCAGTGGACCTTTCAGCTATAGCCATCACTCACCATTGAGAAGGTGGGCCTCTCTTACCACCTTAATTTTTGTAGGTATGTCTTTCACCCCCCTAGTTTGCATAAGACATCTAAAGTGCTTGCTACTTTGTACTCATGGGATCCAGCGATGATTACATATTGTCATCAATAGAGTGGGCCAGTGTGATGTTTTGTGAAATGTCAGAACAATCAAGATCACTTCTATGTTATAAATAAAGCTGTTATGAACATTTGTATACAAAAAAAGTGAAATTGGAGATGGACCTTGAAATATTAGTAAGATTAAGTGGCCAGTGGGAATCCGATGAAATAGGATTCAACTAGACAAGATCACGTCTATGATTCTAAGATCAACTATTATGGCAGCGAGCAGAACTAATGGAGCCCATGGCAACACTGGAAGGCATATTATGGCCCCTATTGGGTAACAGCAAATCACTTCTTATGAACCTTGCAAATTGGTATGGAGGAAAAGGCATTAGCCAGGTAAATAAGTGCATACCAAATGTCAGATCTGCCCCAGGTGCATACCAATGTGTTAATCTGCCCCAATAAAGGTACCAATTCTGGGAAAGCAGCTGAAATTGGAGTCCCCATCTGATTACGTTTATGACATTCCATAGTCATTTTTCAAGATCCATCTGTCTTCTGCACCAGCTAAACTGGTGAATTAAATGGGAGAGGTTATAGGTATCACTACCAACAACCTGTAGTCAAAGTTCAAATAGTTCTCTGGAAGCAAGGAGCCTTTTGTGTGTCCATGGAATTTGTGTTTCCATTTGTCTCAATGGAAACCAGAACCACGTAGGCTGAGTAACAGGAGCAAGACCCTCAGGAGCCCTCCCTTACCCCTTTAAACTCTTCTGGCCAACCCAGGTTCCAAACCTAGGCTAACCAGAAAGCTAGGTGAAGACAACAAAGGTCATTCCAAGTATTGGTCCCGAGGCTTAGATCTGATAATACTCAAGGTTCTGTGCTCATTCCTGTGTCCCTGGCTAGGATTCCTGGCTTCAATAACTGCTTGGCTTCTCCTATTCATCGATCAAAAATTGGAATTTATTTGAAGACACCGGGGTAGATCAGGGATGCAGCTGAGCCTCAGGATGAGATGGGAACCAGGAACTGGAGTGTTGAAAAGAACCCAGAAAGTCTTTCCTCTATCTTCTCTGCATTTCTATTTATTCTGTCCCTCTGCTTTCTGGCTTTTTGCCTTCAGTTCCATGAAACAACCACTTGAGAGCTCCCAAGTTTTTAATCTCTTCCAGAAAGTAGCAAGAACAACCTTACCTATATTCATTAACCCTCTTTTCTAGTTGAATCCTATTTCCTCAGATTCCCACTGGCCACTTAATCTTACTAATATTTCAAGGTCCATCTCCAATTTCACTTTTTTTTTGTATACAAATGTTCAACAGCTTTATTTATAACAGTCGCAAACTGGAAACAACCCAAATGTCCATCAATAGGCCAATGAACAAATCTATTCAATGAAGTAGTACTCAGCAATGAAAAACACAAAAACAAAAACTCTTGACACACACTATCACATGGATGAATCTCAAAATAATTATACAGAGTAAGATACGCCTGACCCAAAAAAGAGATACATATTGTATGATTTCATTTACATAGAATTCTAGGATATGCATACTAATAAGGCACAAGGGCACTTGAGGATAATGAGTCTGTTCCTCACCTCGATTGCGGTGATAGTTTTACATGACGTATACATATGCCAACACATTGTACACTTTACATATGTGCAGTTTATCGGGTGTCAAGTATACCTCAGTAAAGTTAAAATAAAAATATTAGTGGGCTCTATATTCTGGAGACACTGACAGTAGAACAACTATTTTCAGCTTGAAATATTAGGTACGCTTTGGTAAAAATACTTTTTAACTTTATCTTCACAGTTGCAGCAAGGAAACCAAAAGGGAAAAACATTCACTGATTGAAAAACAATGTCATAAAGTCATCCCAGTTTCTGGGGGGTTGGTTCCAGGACCCCTGAGGATACCAAAATCCTCAGATGCTCAAGTCTCTAATAAAAAATGGCACAACATTTGCATATAACCTACCCACATCTTCCCATACACTTTAAGTCATCACTAGACTACTTTTATTACCCAATACAATGTAAATGCTGTGGCAATAGCTGTTATACTGTATTATTTAGAGAATAAGAAAAAAAGTCTGTACATTTTTGGTACACATACAATTTTTTCTTAAATATTTTTGATTTGCAGTTATTGAATCCACAGATGTGGAACCCAAATATAGCAGGCTGACTGTATATACTAAGAAAAATTACAAAGTAAAAATGAGGAATTTTCATTCCATAAATGAAACCAAATCTAACATATTTCTTAACAATGAATAAAACCACTTACAATTATTTGGTGTCTGACAGCTGTGTCTCTCCTGCATATTGTTACAGCAGTGGTGCCCTTGGGTTCAGAAACCTGAACTGTGGTCTTCAGTTGTTCCCCACACTCCTCTGTCAGAGGCCCAGACACTCCAAGACGCCGGGAAGAGGCAAGTGGCTTTCCCTGACTGGCATCGGATTCCTGGGTGGCTATGTTTCTGCATACTCCACCATCAACAATAAGAAGAGCACTCCTTTCCACAAAGGGACCTTGCAAAGAACTGACTGTCTTAGAGGGACTATCTTTGAGTTTAACTTGTTTTGAATCTGAGTCTGAGTCTTCATTTCCAGATGACACGGTGCTGTCTGACTCCTCTACATCACTTGCCTCAGAGCTGGAGCAAAGTGCCTGCTGCCCAGAAACTGAATGGGCTGCTTTTAACGCAGCTTCTTCCTGGACAAGAAGTGCTGCTGCCGCTAGCTCTTCCAGTTCTAACCCCAGCTGGACCTTTGTAAGGGAGACTTCCTTTAAGGCTTCTGCAAGAACTGCCAACTTTTAGATTTAACTTTCTGAATCCACACACAGTAGTCTGAGATGTAGAGATCATTCAGTATGTATGCTGTGTTGTTTTCCTGAAAAATTTTGTGAATATCCAGAGACACTTTAAAACTGTACTTTTACCTAGTTGTGATATCTTTATAGTGTTCCTGTAGGCCTTCATCACCAGCTTGAAATGGCAGTAGAGTGGGTAACACAACACCCTTCTTTCAAAAGACACCATGATAGCATGAACATTAGTCCAAGTCTCAAACCACCATAATGTTGGACTCAGTTTCCTGATATTCCATGCAGATTCAACGTTCTTCTCTCCTTCAGTGACACAGGTTTCATAGCAATATTCCAGAAGGACATCAATCAAACTGTAGTACACTTGACAACAGGTTTTCTTTTCCAGCAGATAAGATTTACTGACAAATTTTGTATTGACAAATCATCTACAAATTTTTGTAGCTGATATTTCTCTTCTTCAGAAAAAGACACTAAAGAAGCATGATTTCTTGCTCCTGACTCTTTTCCAAAAAAGCCATCATTTTTTAATATTTGTCAGACCACCAAATTGTACTTCAAAATCTGTTCAACCGCCTCATCTTCAAAAATGTCAATTAGATAATGATCAGGATCAAAATTGGCCAGGTCAGTGGCCAGGCACTTCTGTCTTGGTTTAGCTACAGGGCTGAAATCTGGATCCTTAATATCAATAACATCACTCAATTGATCCTGTAACCACTGAAACACTCCTGATTGTAAGTTTCCAAATCCATAGTGGCACTGTGGATTCATAGCACTTTCTGATACCTCTCCATAGGGTGTCTGCTCAATTTCCCAATCAAACTCTTCATCGTCTACTTCTTCAGGAATCTCAGAAGCACCTGTTTCTTCCAGAAGTGATCTCGCTGTCCTGGATTTTCTTGGTGCCAGAAGAGCAGCTAACATGTCTAGCCCCTAGGCAGGCGAATGGTAAAAATTCCTTTATCTGCGCCATAGGACCCTTGTGGCTTCCATTTTCTACAATTTTTCCAGGAAGGGTTAATCTGAGAAAGTACAGCTTGGCATAGAACTTGAAGTCAGGCCTCTCAAAGTAGACATTGAACTCTGAGACCCGGGCGTAGAGCATGTGGATGGCGATGGTCAGGAAGTCCAGCTCCTGACTGAGCCAGACGCAAGGGCCGGTGCCAACTGCTGTCACTGCTGCCACAGTCCTGCCACACAAACTCTCCCCAGTTTCACCTTTTTTAAATAAAAGATGTCTGTCTTCCAGGACACAAAAGCCTCCTATACACACATTTTGGCACTTGATTATATTATGTCTTTTACAGTGCTCTGCATGTTTCTTGCAGGTAAGTCTTGATTCTTCAACTACATATTAAATATCTATCAAAGATATATATTTAGCTTTCATCTTTCAGAGCTCCTAGCATAGGACTTGGCACCAAGTAGCCCATAGTAAACAATTATTGAACCATAATGTATGATTTTCTTTTCTACTTTTCACTGGTATGTTTGTTTGAAAAGGGTAAACCACTAGCAATGAAAATGTCCTTGTTATGTTATCCTTCTTCTCTAATTAGCAACCACCCTTCACAATCTGCCATGTTACATTTAAAAAGGATTTTCAAATTAGACATTTATGCCTGGGCATTAACCAGGGACTGATGTATCAGTGCCATCAGCGGAACACTGCGCTGGCTAGCAGATGTGGCACCATTGTCAAGACTTGTAATTTACTTCTAGCTTTTCAAATAGTCAATGTGTAACTCCAGGCAAGGTTTAATTATCTCCTGTTAAAATGGGAATAATATAACCCACCCCCACTTTGCTTCCCATGGGTATCATGAGAATTAATTAGTTCTGTAATGTGAATATATGTCTATAAAATGTTGTATAGTTCATTAGAGGTAAACATAAATGAAAACATAAGATATTGTTCAATGTAGTATGAATGTTCATTGTTGCTGTGTTTAGTAGAAAGTGCACGTATTACAGCAATAGTGGTAGTACACAAAATAACAGATATGTGTTGGATCAGCACCTCCTCCAATTACCATTTGCAAATAAGTCCTGGATGGCCAGAACTAATTGGAAGGTTGAGACAAAAATTATGTCTCCCTCACTAAAGAAGGGGAGATTGATGTAGTGCACTCACCCAAATTTCGTAGTTCCTGCATCAACTCTTCAAAAGCTTCAAATCTAGGCCAGGCTATAGGAAGAAGAGCAGCAATTAAAGATTGGGACTTTTTCTGGAACCTCAGTAGCACCTTCCTTGTTTTGTAAGACTTTGAAGAAGCATATCAAGTTTCTTCCACCCATTCCTTCACAGTATAGCAAATAGGAGACACCATCTTTCCTCCCATGACACCTGGAAGAGTGAGAGACCAACACACTCCAGGACACAGTCAGAAAAATTCAACAAAAGATTTGCTAAATCCTGTGCACTATGATCTAGACCAGAATTTCTCAGCCTCAGCTCTGTGGACATTTGAGCCAGATAATTCTTTGTTGCCCGAGGCTGTTCTGTACGTCATAGGGTGTTCAGCAGCATTCCTGGCCTCAACCAAATAGATGCCAATAGCACTTCTCCCACCCCCTGTGACAATCAAAGATATGTCCAGACGTTGCCAATGTCCCCTGGTATAGGGGAATCATCTTCAATTAAGAATCAGTGATTTAGACAATGATCAAAGTGGGGTAACTAAATCAAAAGACACTGCCATCTTAAGTTGATCAAGCATCCTTCTTTGAAATCACTCAGCACTTTCATATATTGCATTTATATCTTAGGTATTCATATTCTATCAATTCAGCAAATATTTATTGAGTTCTCAATGAACAAGATACAATATCGAGTAAGTTATCCTGTGTGTCCATAAAACAGAAATGGATATGGTATGTCCCAGTTCTCCACAGCAGGCATTTATGTCGTTCCCATTCCAATATTTACCACCTTTCAGGGTTGTCAAATATTACATGGGACATACTTATACTAAAAATTATTCATTATTTATCTGAAACTGAAATTTAACTGGATGTCCTGTGTGTGTACATGTGTTTGTTTGTTTTCTAATTCTGGCAACCCTACCCTGATAGACTCAAGGTTTTATCTTGGTCCACAAACTTTATAACTTGACTTCACTAAAAATAATAAAGAGGAGTAATCGCAAAGGCTTTAAAAAATGCTGTTAGAATGAGTAGCACAACTAAATTTGAGGACACATTTTATTTGAAAGATGTTTACTTTCCTACTGAAAATGGCGGTAAACTCCTTAGAATTCATTCAAAGCCTGATGGGATTCATTACCTGATTTATTTTTCTACTTCTTATTTTTATTTTTAGAGATGGAGTCTAGCTCTGTCACCAGGCTGGAGTGCAGTGGTACGATCTCGGCTTACTGCAATCTCCACTTCCCAGGTTCAAGCGATTCTCCTGCCTCAGCCTCCCAAGTAGCTAGGATTATACCCAGCTAATTTTTTTGTATTTTTAGTAGAGACTGGGTTTCACCTTGTTGGCCAGGATGATCTCAATCTCCTGACTTCGTGATCCACCCATTGCGGCCTTCCAAAGTGCTGGGATTACAGGTGTAAGCCACTGAGCCCTGCCTGCCTGATTTATTCAAAAACATTTCTGATGCTCACAGACTATTTAGCATTTACACAACAAATGATGTTCTTCTAGTATTCTTGTTGGGTGAGTCAGCATTCTGCAAAGACATGAAGGAGAATCAGACGCAAACTCCTTATAACCTCATAAACAGGAAGAAAGGGAGCAGAAGCATATACTAGCTTTACTTTCGCTCAACTTACCTTCCCAATTCTCCAGGTATGGTCCTCAGATCAGGAATATCATGTGACCTGGGAACTTATTAGAAATGCACATCCTTGGGACCCACGCCGGACCTACTGAATTAGAAACTCTAGGAGTGGCTCCTAGCAACCAATGTTTTAACAGGCCTTCCAGGTGATTCTGCTGCATGTTAGAGAACCACTGCTTTAGAGCCCTGGTTTTTTATCCTGGCCACAGGGGAAAACACCTGGGGAGTTTAAAAAATACTGATGTGTGGGGTCTATACCAAGGGAGTCTGATGTAATTGGCATGGGGTGCAACCCAGGCATAAACATTTTTAAAAACTCCCCAGCCAGAATAATTGCTCTACCAATTTTTTAATCAAATCCCAAAGAGAAGTTCCTTATATTGCAAATATAGTACTTTCTATTCTGGCCCTAATCAACCTTGCATAAAGTCAGAATCGACAGACATTACATGTTTTAATTTGAAGACTAACAAAGGGCCATTAAACTAGATATATGGGCTCTTCCTCAAATCCCTAAATCTACTCCTTAGGGCCTACTACAGTCAGTGTGATATAACAGAAAAGTCATTTTTTGTCCACCAGACCCTGCCCAAATGTTTGATAACCTCTTGGGGCCTCATTTTCTCATGTCTACACTGGGGATGATATTAACTCTTCACAGGAATTGGAGAATTATAAAGAGAGACCATGTAGGTAAAGGCAGGAAGATCCATAATCAATAATCCCACCAGAACCAGACTTTGCACCATTGAAGTGAGGCAGAGGAGGCAGAAATTTTGAAGAACAAATTCACAAATTTCAATATGTGTTTCTATAATAACTACTTAAATTATTTTCTCTTTGAATTGCCTCACTTTTATGTGTACATGTGTCCCCACTCCCACCTGTCCCATTATTTTCCTGTTTTTACTTGTACCTTGGTAACCCAACTGTGACTTTGGCCAAGCTATTTTCATGGCAGTGAACGTGGTAGTTTTAAAGACTGTGGTAGTAGATACACACAGCTCAATAACTCCTGGGGCTACAAGAAGGTTAATGGGACAGTTTTTGTTTTTAAAAACCATGCCTATCTGACAAGTCAATCATTTTAAGCCTTTTATTCACCTCAGGATAGTTGTTAAAGGCTTCCCTGTGAGTTAAAAGTCCTCTCCGTTAAGGTGCTGCCCGGCCTGGCTGTATGCATTACATGGAATAGTTCTCTGCATGGTTTCTTAGTACAGATTCTTTGAGATACATGGACACTCAAGTTACCTGCCACAGCAGGAGATGTTGGTCCTCTCCCAGAGTACTGCTGAGACCTAAGGGCTTAAACGCTCACCAAGTGACCTTGGAGGGCTGGTCATGGTGGGCATCTGGGAACTGGGAAAGAGCACTGGAGAACTTCATAGGGAAACCTAGCTGACAAAAGTGAAAGAACTCATAAGAGCCATTGACATGAGCCCTAGCTAAGGTCCACTGGGTTAGCTCTCAAAGAAGAATGCAAAACTTAAGCATAAATTTCTTCATCATGAACCAGAAGCCATGGAGTACGGCCAGGGTCAAGAAAGAGAAAGATCAAGAGGTAGAACCACAGGGATAAAGGTGCCAAGAAAGGCAGTGAGAGTAACACTCAGGAAACCAGAGACAGGAACAGAGCTGGGAACTAGGAGGAGAAACTATCACAGCTGGAAGGCAAAGTGGCCAGGCCAGAAAAGCTTCATGGAATCCTGGTTAATTAAATATTTCTATTGACTGAGGCCACTGCTTAAGACCTGTATTATTTTTATTTCAATCCCCATGGTTAGAAAAATAGGGCTAAAATGGGTTCATATACTTTCCCATCCTGCAAGATCTTAAACATCACTATCTTTTCCTGTGGTGGTTAAAAGCATGGGCTTTGGAATCAGAAACAGCACAAATCTGAGCCCTGCTACTTACTAGCTATGTAATATTGGTCAAATGAGTAAACCTCCTGGAGCCTCAGCTTCCTTGCCTGTAAAATGTGAATAACAATACCAACTTATTTTCAGATTGTGAGCATTTCTCCATAATAATCCACATAAAGCACTTACCAGAGCACTTGGCTTACTATGTAAGCATGTAATAATGTTAGCGTCATTCCAAGACAACATATTGGAATAATCTACTATTTTTTCATCACTGTGTATCTCATTTTCCTTCTTTTTCTTCTCCCTCAAACCTACCCCCATTCCAGCAGATGTTTTGGCCTGTGTTCATATCCTCCAGTGAGAGAGGAAAGCCTGTTAGATTTCCTGCCATTGTTTCCCAAAGTTTGGGATCCAGGAAACTGGGACAAGATACTTTCCTGAGACAAGATATCTCAGGAAGGGGAATGAGTGAGTCTTCTTTTCACTCCACACTAGAAAGCCATTCTGTTTGGAAAGAGGAGAGGGAAGGGAAAGAAAAGGGTGCTATACCAGCTTTCCAGTATCTCTGTCAGTGTGCAAGCAAGGCCAGAGAGCATCTGGGCAGATGTAACTATAAGCAGCCTAATAAAGGTTCCCAAGCCCAAACCATGAATCCAAAAGCAGAGCTGCCAGAAATGAAAGGCCTTGCTGCCCTTCCACCCCACAATACTTCACTTCTGGAAGCCTTGATAATTCTAGGCAGTATTTGCAACCCGCCCCCCCGACACCAAAATTTTTTAAATACTGTATGTGAGTGAGTAAAATGATGCCAAGATTTTTAAAAGGACAAGCTTACCATCAGATAGGTAGAATGAGTAGTAGTGGTAGTGGTGGTGGTGGTGCAGAGATAAAAATTAAGTAGCGTTACTGAAATATATAGTTATATTTCCCACACTCTGGTGTTTGTGGACTTGTGGGCTGAGATTCTGACCAAATTCCAGAACTTGCAATGTCTCAAAGTAATTGTTTAAAATATTAAATTGTTGTACTCACACTGCAAATGTTGATATAGATGCTCGGGTGGGGGCGGAGCAATAGGACAGAATAAGCCCAAGAATACCTTGGAATTGGCTGAATTCCTTTCTCTTTGCATGATCTTACTCACACGTTAACATTATGTGAACCACTCCATGAGCAGCACAAGAGAGACTTTCTGCAAATGTGATTATTAGGTCGAAAGTTAGGAGCTTCCTTGCCCCCAGGTTTTCTCCTCTCCTAAAACCTTTTTTTTTTTTTTTTTCATTTCTTTGTCAATGTCTTTAATTTTTTTTTGCTCCATTTAAAAGATTTTTCTATTATTTCTGCATGAGTAAGAGTATGTGTCATGTCAGCCTCCTTGTCAGCTTCTGTTTCACTTCCATTAAATTTGTTGATCGAGTGTGAAGAAGGAGGCACTGTCATCATTTCCAGATTTCCTAGTATGGGTTAGATCTCTCAGAGGACTGCTGTGATCCCACTGCAATTTTGTAATGGAGCCCTGGAGAGACAGGAATGAAACCAGGGAAGGCTCCTTATCTCTTTCATTGGTTCAGGGAGGCAGAAAGAGAGGGGAGGAGGATATGTCTGTTTCCCCTCTATTCATTGATTCATTTGCTTCACAAATACTGAGCATCTCCTGGGTGACAGACACTGATTTAGGTGCTGGAAATACACTGGAAAGTATAAACAGCCCTAGTGCCTGCCCTCACAGAGCCTATGGTCTGGTGGTGAGACAGATTTTAATCAGATAAACACACTAATGAATGCATAGTTGCACAAAGAGATCCTCATTTAAATAAGCTGGACTAGGACCTAGGCATCAGTATTTTTTAAATAAGCTTTGTAAATAACTCTGCCAGGTCTGGGAATCACTGGGTTAGCCCATGCAAGTTCTAATCATATAGGCTGTAATCAAGCATCGTTAAGCATTTTGATTTTATCTTTCAAGCTGTGATTAAAATGTTACTGAAGAGAGGTGATATAGTAAGATGTTCAGGGTTTTTAAAATTAAGCTTTTTATTTTGAAAAAATTGTAGACTCATATGCAATTGTAAGAAATAATACAGGGGAATCTCTGGTATCCTTTACCCAGTTTTCCCCAATGGTAACATCTTGCAAAACTATGGTACAATTCACAACCAGGATATTAACCCTTGGTGCAATCAAGATAAAGCATTTTCAGGATCACATGAATCCTTCCTGTTGTCCTTGGATAGCCCTCCCCACTTTACTCCTGGTGACCACTAATATGTTCTCTATTTCTATAATCTTGTCCTTTCAACAGTTATATAAATGGAATCATATAGTATAGAACCTTGTGGGACTGCTGTTTTCTCTCAGCATAATTTTCTGGACATTCATTCATATTGTTTCATGTGTCAATAGTTTGTTCCTTTTTAGGGGGCTGAGTAGTGAGTAGCAGTGTTCCATATATGGGGTACCACAGTTTGTTTAACCACTCACATGCTGAAGGATATCCGGATCGGTTTCAATGCTCAGAGATTTTAAATAGAGTTGCTGTAAACATTTGTGTATAGGCTTTTGTGTGAAGATAAAATCTTCATTTCTCTGGATAAATGTCCAAGGGTGCAATTGCTGAGTCCTATGATAGTTAGTTGCATGTAGAAACTATCATGCATAAAGAAACTGTCAAACTATTTCCAGAGTGTCTGCACCATTTTTATTCTCAGCAGTAGTGTTCCAGTGATCCAGTTTCTCCTCTTTTTCATCAGCATTTAATGCTGTCACTGTTCTTCATTTCAGCCATTCTAATAGGTATGTAGTAATATCTTGTGATTTTGCTTTGGGTTTCTCCAACGGCCAATGATGCTGAACATCTTTTCGGGTGCTTAGTTGCCATCTGTATATTATCTTTGGTGAAGTGTCTCTTCATGTCTTTCACCTATTTTCTAACTAGATTATTAGTCTTAATGTTGAGTTTTGAGAGTTTACTTTTATATTCCAAATACTAGTCCTTTTGTCAAATATAGGGTTTGCAAATATTTTCCCACTCTTCAATGTTT